GTTCGGTTTGTTTCGGTTCGGTTTCGGTTCTTTCGGTTTTTTACCAAAAATTTGTCATTTGATTTAAAAATAATATAATAGTTGGAGGGATCAAACATATTACATAAAAAATACAAGCATACTAGAATAAATGAAGAAAAAATAAGAATAAATAAACATGTCTTGAGTTATATGAGCATGCAGGAGTGATATAAGTGTATATATTCTTACTTTGCATTGTTTGTGACTAGTTTGAAAAAAGTTCATGAATACATGCATCATATATTCATATGTGATATAACTGAGATGAATATTTATTTATTTATGAACGTAAAAAATGTAAGTTACATAAAAATGTAATTTAATTACTACTAATAACTTGTAAAAATAAAAATCACGCAACAAATTGCAACGCGTGCGCGCACGCGCGCACACACGCGCGCACACACGCGCGCATAGTGGTGGACCCGGTTCGGGCCGCCCGGCCCGGGACCGGCCCGGCCCGTCACTGTACGGGCCCGGAACCGGCCCGGTTCTCGGGTCCGGGTCCGGTTCGGGCACCGAACCGGTGGGAGAAGCGGGTCCGGGCTCGGGTTCTGTTTTTGGGGGCCCGGGCCGGCCGGGTCGAATCCGGGCCCGGGCCTAACGGTCATTTAAAAAAAAAATTGTTTTAATTTTAAAAAACACATTTTGGCTCAACAGCCACTTCCCAAACGGCTATATAGCCGTTGGGGGGGGTACCAGGGGGGGTCCGGGGCGTTTGGGGGGGTGGGGGGGGGGGGGGGGGGGGCGGGGGGGGGGGGGGGGGGGGGTTAAAAAAAACCTATAAATACTCCTAATTTTAAACATTTTTTCACACCTCTTCTCCAACTCTCCCTAAATCCTACTCTCTACTTATCTCCAATTCTCCATATTCATCTTCTCAAATTCTCTTATTCTCCTTTATATTTTATTTTACTATTTAATACTTATACAATTATTATATCTACTTATATATTAATTATCTACTTATAAATACATATACTATATTACTTATATTTCTTATCTACTTAATCTCTACTTATATTTCTTAATACATACATACTACATCTACTTAATATATACTTTATATAATAAAGTATTAAATATACTTTATAAACTATTACTATATACTTAATACATAATAATATCTACTTCTCTACTTAATAATATCTATTTTATATATACTTATTTTATAATATCTACTTTTATATATACTTTATAATATCTATTTTATATATACTTATTTTCTTATTTTCCAATCTCCAATTCTCCATTATACTTATTTATACTCTAATATTTAATTCTTATACAATTATTATATCCACTTAATACATACATTCTACATCTACTTAATATATACTTTATATATTAAAGTATAAAATATAAGTGTATTACTCATCTTATAGTAGTATACTTATATATTATATACTATAAACATTATATTATATATTACTTACTATAACTAGTATTGTACTAGTTAATTAGTTAATTAGCATTGTTGTTACATTTATCATTATAATAGTTAATTAGTTCATTACCATTATTGTTACATTTTTCATTATACTAGTTAATTAGTTTATTAGCATTGTTGTTACATTTTTCATTATACTAGTTAATTAGTTAATTAGCATTGTTGTTACATTTTTCATTATACTAGTTATTTAATTCATTAGTATTCTCATTAATTGTTAAAACAACTCTACTTCAATAAACTAGTTAATTGTCATTAATTCATTATAGTTAAAGTCACATTTTCTTATTTTCAATTTATATTTGTAGGAAGAAATAGTAGTTCAATCATTTAATTAAAGTACTTAACATTTTATTTAAGTAGTTTTTACTAAATTAAAGTACTTCAAAAGTTGGTATAATTTTAATTTTAAAGTCACACATTAATTCTACTTTGCACTAAATTAGTTTGAAGTATTAATTAAAATAGTTTTAATTAGTTGCATTAGTTTTGTATCCATTATTATATTGGTTGTCAATTAATATTTGTTACATTTTTAAGATGGAAGGTGGTAGATATTCGGTTGATTTGGGTAACCTCCAACGCAATCGAAGGAACGAGATTGGGAGGAAGAAATCCCGCAAAGGTAAAGAACTTGCCGGTTCTTCATCTCAAAGCCGAGATGATTTTGAAACGGGTTACCAAAGGCGAGATGGAGATGCGATGTCCGAAGAACAACTCCAACAAGAATTGGCCTGACATAATAACCGCTTTCTACAACAACAACAAATGCCGACGACCATTGACGAAGAGGAGCTTGAGGATGAAGATGCGGAGGAATTGGAACCGGAGACGGCCGAGGAGGAGGGTGCCGGCAGCCACGACGCCGACGAGCCTACCTCATCCCAAACCGCCACCGATAATAAAAAAAGTAAGTCTGAACTAATGAAAAATAATTTTGATAAATAGAAGGACCCCGTGGAGTATGCAAAATTAGGCGGCGGAACGGGGAAGCAAACTCAAATATCGAGGTTTGCGAATTCTCAACCTTTTGGTAATTTCTCCTACAATGATGCACAAAATTTGACTGGTATGGCTAACTTAATTTGTGAAGAAAATTTGCCTTATTTGTTTTCTGAAAGTCTTGCTTTAAGAGATTATGCACAAGGTAGTTTAAATCCTCAATTTAGAAATTATAGTCGCAAAACTATTAAGAAAGAAATAATAAGGCTTTATAATGCGGAAAAGGAAAGGTTACAAAATTTTTTTGCAAACTTTGATGGGCGTGTTACTATTTGTTCTGACATATGGGAGGATGATTTTCATCATTTATATTATTTGGGTCTGACTGCACATTATATTGATGAGGATTGGAATATGCATAAACGTGTTCTTGCTTTTCGTGAATTTAATGATCGTCACACCGCTGAACATATTTATATTTTGATTGAGCGTATTTTAATTGAGTATAATTTGATTGATAAGGTATTTGCTATTGGTTTCGATAATGCTACTAATAATACTGCTGCTATACCTAGATTGCGTGAGTTGTGTGGTGTCAATACTTTGATGGGTAGATTTTTTCATCAACGGAGTGCATGCCATGTTATAAATTTATGTGTGCAAGACGGTTTAAAAGCGTTAGGAGATTCCATGGAGGTAATCAAGGGGGGGATTAGACGTATTTGGGGTAATGGTCAACTTAGATTAAAATGGCAAACTTATTTGACTGAAAGAGGTGTGAGATATGTTGCTTTTCCTAAAGATTTGAAGGCCGCACGTAGAACTCAAGAAATGAGCATCACCCCCTCCCAAGATTTTATGGATGACTCAACAACCGATGGTGGCTCTACCTATGCCGGAGATTCCGATTGATTAGTATTTTAGAATTTATTATAAAATGTATTTTATAGCACTTGTCAAATTTATTTATACTTGTATTTCATATTTCAAAATTGTAAACTTATACTTCATATTTCAAAATTGTAAATTTGTAGTTGTACTTCAAATTAATTTGTAAACTTGTACTTCACATTTCAAATAAATATGTGTTCACTTTTTCATATGTAGCACTTCTCAAATTAATTAATTGGTTACAAACTAACGACTTACAATTATTTTTCTAAAATATAAAGCCGGTTTTTAAATTAAAAATACATTTACAATATGTAATTTGTTTAAATACTTATACACCTATTTTGTAACATTTGTAAATTATAAATCAAACCACTTTTCTAAGTACAAATAGTTTTAGTTTTACTTAATTCATTAAATTAATTAATTTATTTTACAATATGTATAACTTAAAAAAAATTGAAATCAAACCTCCCAAACGGCTATATAGCCGTTGGGGCTATGGGTGGGGGGCAGGGGGGTCCCGGGGGTGGTGGTGTGGGGAGTGGGGTTCAAAAACATCTATAAATACATCTATTTTCTAACATTTTTCTACATCTCTTCTCCAACTCTTCTCCATCTTCATCTTCTCTTATTATCCTACATTCCTACTTATACATATACCATTTTAAATATGGAAAGTACATCTTCCCTTATGCAAAACAATTTTGACAAGTGGAAGGACCCGAAGACCGGACTGTGGTGGGCAACTTGCAGGTGGTGCAAGAAAGAGTGTTGCTTGGAGCGTTCATACGGATACGGGATGCCAATAAAACATATGAAGTCCTGTGACAAAGGGAAAACAACAACCAACGGTGGCGGAAATCCCAATTGATATTCATTAGAAAATGTATTTCGTATTGTTATTTTTTTCTCAATTCTCAAATGTAGTTCTTATTTCAAATAAATGCACTTGAACTTTGTTTTTAATAGGAATTTGTATAATATATAATTAATTAAAAAAAATAGTGGCCCGGCCCGGCCCGGCGGGTGGCCCGACCCGTGACCCGGGCGGGTGGCCCGGCCCGAACCGGAACCGGCCATTGCCCGGGCCGGTCCCGGGCCTACCATTACAAGACCCGAGGCCCGACCGGGCCTTGACCCGGCCCGGGTCCATCACTACGCGCGCACACACACGCACACCCACACACACCCACACGCACGCACACGCGCACACGCGCACACGCACACACACGCACACACACACGCACACACGCACACACGCACACACGCACACACGCACACACACACACACGCACTCACGCACACGCACACACGCACACACGCACACGCACACATGCACATGTACACACGTACACACACACACACACACATAGAGAGAGAGAGAGAAGATCCCATGAGAAGTCCTAGTTAGGCTGAAAAATGAGAAGTGATTACTGATGTCCGATCAACTCCTTCAAACTGTCCGATTAATTCAATATAGTTGTATCATTAATGGCGTTTTTATAAAATTCGTCAACTCTATACCTTTTTGTTAAATAGCATGTTTGCCATCTCTGTCCGTCTCTTCCAATTGTCTCTTTCAGTTCGGCAATTCCATGGCCGAGCGATGAAGGTTATAAAAAAAATAAAATTATGTTATCCCGTGCACGGCACGGGTAAAAATACTAGTATATATATATAAAGTACAATATTAGGAACAATTCACGTTGATCGAAGAATAGAGGATGGGAATATTTGAGGACGAGAATGATCAATTTTCAAACCAAGGGTTTTAGTAGTCTATGTCATACATGGAAATATGGAATAATTTGATTGAAAGTTCGATCAAACGCAATTACACATGGACCTTGACACCCCAAAGAGACATAATCCCTACTATATGATGAGTGTGTGTCTTTTTAAAATATATAAACTACTCCCTACAAATCTACAATACACCACATCACCATCAGCATCATAAGGTGTAACCTGCACTTAAGATATAGGTCTACCAAGAGAAAATCCTGCACTATAGAGCTGACCTAAAAAACTGAAGCTGGCTTAGGATCTTCAGCGAGCAGACAATCTTCATTTCAAGTCAGCAGAAGTTCAGTCCAGGCCTGAAACTAGAGGGCGTTTTTCGTCCAACGTGCATATATGGTCATCATTTGAGTAGGATAAAGCTGCATAGCACAAAAAATACCACCAAAAAATGTCCATCACAAAGTTATCTGGGGTCTGAAATGTTGCTCCTCGTCCATTACTTTTAGCATTTTGACAACTTTCTCAGTGACATCCCCATAAACTTGGGAGACTACAGAAGAAGGTTCTGATACTACGATGGGGACACCTTCATCACAACCACTTCTGATCCCTACTTCTAGTGGCACCTATATCAAGTAAACGTAATATGATCAGCAACCGTATACATGAACATCCTATGTTAACAACAAGAGCAAACAACCAAGTAATTTACACGTGCCAAATCCTAGTCATCAAAACAGTATGGATGAAAGGAATCCTAGTCTGTAACACCTCGATTTTTGTGAGCTAGTAATAAAAGTTGTTAATAATTTAGTCATTTAAGTACTTGGGGTGCGCCTATTGTTGGTCAGATTTTCAAGTTTAGATTTAACAAACTGATCATTAATCAAGATAACTAATTTGCTTCCTAATTCTTTCTTTACATACGGGAGTGTTCTGTTTTGGGAATAGAATCTAAGAATAGGATTAGTTCACCCATGCTTGTTTTTTAAAATTTTCTCTGTTCACGTTGACGACTCGAAAGCATTGAGAATCTAAGAATAGGATCAGTTCACCCATGCTTGTTTTTTAAAATTTTATCCGTTCACGTTGATGACTCTAAAGCATTGAGCATTTCTAAACTCAAAGGGCTGGTTTCTATTTGTTTTGATTTTGAGGGTCTTTAACTGTGTGGAATTAATTAGCTGATGCATAGGGATTTTAAAATAGGAGAATACCATTTTCTTTATATCCAGAGTTTGCAAGTTTAATCACAATTGGAATTGATTTACATACACTAATGCACACCTATTATTATGCCATAACTAATTTCAAGTTTCATTTAGAATTTATGTTCAGTAGTAGCAATGTTTTCCTTAGTCTATTAGTTTTTCTTGACACATAATATTCTTAATACCCTATTATATTTAATTAATTAAAGATTTTAAGGAAGAGCTTACCAAAAGACGTTATGTCGTTATCAAGGTGTCACACTTATTTTTGAGTAATTTGAGTTCAGCTTCTCCAGATAAGTTCATACCACCAGTACATGTTTGCTCAACCAAAAGAAAGAAAGAATTCTGGTTGATTTTTAATAGATGATTTTAGACTATTTGTTATTATGTGAGCTTGTTGAATTATTTGATGAATTATTTTGTTTGTTGTATTAAGTTATGTTTATTATCTGGCATAGTCAAGATTATATTAGTACTTTTTTAAGATTTTAACTATGTTTTTAATCAAACGTCACCATAAAAAGAACTAATATTTAAAGTGAAAGATTAAGTGATATGTACTCGAGAATAAGTTCCCACAGAGTTATTAGAGTTATTAGTTTACAGTTTCAGAGAGTTTGATATGTTTAGTGGATCGCTCCCCCGAGCTATCGGATTGGCACCATTGAGTACATATCACGGGCCCAAAGTAAAATTAGCCACAAAGAATTTTACACAAAGTTTAATGAGATCTATTTCAAAAAGTTTGGGAGAAGGATCAAAAAAGACACTAAGATTATTCAAGAATCTCAAATTGAACACTTAGCTTTTAACCGGACCAAATTAATACATGGCCACTTATTTTGATAACATTTGGCCACCCATTCACATTTCAATTTAACAGTGCTCCAAGATTAACGCCTCTTTAATACATCTCTAACGTGCCTACTCTCACTTCCCCTTTTCTCTCCATCTAAACCCTGTCCTCTTCCTCTTGGTTTCTGTCGTTCGATGCTTATGTTAAATTCTCCACCAGTCAAGCTTCTTTCAACTCCCTTCATCCCAAACTTGAGACGAGACCATTAATTCACCAAATACGAAAAAACATAGAAGATGAACAAGATTACAAGAGAGATTTCACGAAGGAACATTGACCAATTTTTTAATTTCCTTGGTTGTGCTTATTCTTATGGTTGCGATTTTTACTCAATCTTTACTTCAGCCGTGGTCGGAAAACAGTTTACCGAGTCTGTTGAAATTCAGAGTAAGCTTGATAAGAAAATTTTGGGTCCACCAAACAAGGCTCGCCCGGTTCAGAATGACGGAATTCTCCCCTGCGACCTAGGATTTCAGAGAAGTTCTTCGCCTCCAGCGGCTTTGACGGGCAATGGTTGCACACAATCCATGTGCGGCAGATAAGTTCTTCACCTCTAACATTGAAATTATGGCACAGGCAATAAAGTAAGTGAGCAGAGCTTCAAAACCCAGTGCTCCATATCCACCAGCAATGGAAGGGTGTGGTCGATCTATGCGTGCGTGGTATGTGAGCCCGACTTGAGATTCACCTCCTACTCCTACCCCTACAAGGACATCAGTGATGACCAGAAGCAGAGATTCGATTCATATTCCTAATATGACAAAGCCGGTAACTAGGGTTTTGAATTATTATTTTGGGTACAAGGGTTTTGAATTGTGAAATGAACAACAATGGAGATATCAGATATGATTGAATTATTGCAGCAACTTCTAGCCTGGATTTCTATGTAATTGGAAGAGATAAAAGATTGTTAATGTTGGGATGGTCCGTTAAAGCAAATGTTAGTGAGTGGTTAAATGTAGCTTCAATAAGTTAATTATGTGTTAATTGGGAAAATGGAAATTAATAATCCAACCTTTTAGCGGTCTTCTTACAATAATCCAACCTTTTGGTTATTCATGAATAATCCAACCTTTGCACCTCATCTTCATTCACCGGTCCCTGACCGGTTGATGACCTGCTATTCCAAGCTATTTTCTTATCTTTGCAAATCATTATACCATAAATCTCATCTTTCACAAAGATAATATTTTGCAAAGATAAGAAAATAACTTGGAATAGTAGGTCATTAACCGACCAGAGACCAATGAATGAAGATGAGGTGCAAAGATTGGATTATTCATGAATAATCAAAAGGTGGAATTATTGAAAGAAGACCGCTAAAAGGTTGGATTATTAGTTTCCATTTTCCCGTGTTAATTTGGTCCACTAGAAAGTTTAGTGTCCAATCCGAATTTTGTAAAATTTTTCAAATATTAATTTGATAAATTAGCATAGACTTCTCAAATATTTTTTGTGGATCCATAATGACTTACTAAGCGTAAAGCTTATATGCTTTCCTCCTTCGCGTGTACAGATACCAAGGATAAGGCCAAAGCCTAGAAAGATAATGAGGGAGTGGAACGTGTTCCAAAATGAGTTAACGGGAATGACCTTGGCGGCTTCTGGCTATTATTATATCTAAGTATTTCAATTCTTATAGTAAAGTGATTGTTATTATTTAATTTGATTTGGAGTTTTTATTTTGATTGTTTGTAGTTTGAGTAAATTCTTGGATCCAGGTGCTTATCACACTTATTGGTGATAATAAGATTTTATCAAGTTTTATATGGAGTTGTATTTTAGTCACTTTTTTGAGAATTTATCAGGATTATTTCTTAAACAAACGGCCATTATATTGCAATTTAATTTTTAAAGTAGTAAGTTAGCGTAACATTTTCTTTAATCCTGAGAGGGGCGTTACATAGTCCCCAGTCCGATCCATAAATACCTCACCAAGAAACTTCATGCCCATTTCTTCGGCTGTTTTGCGAACACCTCCTTTTCCAAAGATATTTGAAGGCTCATGGCAATGAGGGCACTTAAAGTAGCTCATGTTTTCCAAGATTCCAATTATCTGTTACCATTATGCATGAAGGTGATGTTATGTTGACTTGATCTCCCAAAACCAATGACTACTCTTACTGAATGCACCAGAGAATGAAAAACATACCGGAACATTAACTTTGGAAAACATTTTAACACCCCTCCGAGCATCCATTAATGCAACATCCTGAGGAGTTGAAACAATCAATCCTCCTGTCAGGAAAATGATATCTTAAAACATTAGCCACATATGTATAAACCTATAGTGTGCAGTTAAAGAAACTGAAGGGTTAAGACATTTGTGGAAGGTGTATAGTAATAACAGGGAGCTTACAGCCTAATTTTAACTAACATAGATGCAAAATGAAGTTTAGTTCCAAAATGTATCACTCCACAAATTCAAAAAGTTTATTTCTTTAGGTGAAGTTATGTAAATCTTCAACTCAAAAGGCAACTTAGGCTGGTTTCCCTTTAGGGTCTATCAGGAACCGGGATTATAACTTTGATGTGGGGGGAGGGGGGTAAGCACTAATACTCAATATAATTATTTTAGATGTTCGTACGAACTCATGTAATACTCAATAGCTTTTTATCTTTCATATCTTTCTTTTCCTTTTGGTCCCGATATCATGTATCGATGCATGTTAGTCGACCCCAAAATCTTTTGGGACTAAGGCTTGGATGTTGTTATTGTTTGTACGAATTCATTTAATCTACTTATTTCTCCCATATAAACACTAACAAATCTTAATATATGGAAAAAACTAATCATATTCATTTTCTTTTGCAATTCCAAAGGTAAAGCAAAACATAAGAAAATAACTTCCCTTTAGCAACTAATCATATTCATTTAACTTTCCCTTAACAACTTCTGAGATCCGAACATATAGCCGAAAAGAACAATGAGAAGGATGGTGACTTTGTAACATAGACAGATTCTTTCATTTCAGTACCTGATAACTGAAGCCTCTGGGAGATAGATATCTGAGCATCACCAGTACCTGGGGGCATATCCACCACAAGAATGTCTAGCATCCCCCAATCAACTCCTCTTGTCATCTGCTCAAGAGCTTTCATAACCTACATGGGAAATTGTCTCAATCGATTTTTATTTTAAAAATTCGCGACTCTCTCTATTTAGAGTTCTATATCACCATCATCATCATCATTACCCCAGTGTCGCAAAGGTTCCCACCTACGGTGGGGTAAGGGGGTCAGATGTACTCATGTACGCAACCTTGCCCCTGTACCTAAGTAGCACGGAAACGGGAAACAGGATACGGAAAACGGGAAACGTCGGAAACGCCATTTTTCAAAAATACAGCAAATGAAACGCAGGGGAAACGCATAAATATAAAAAATACAGGGGTTATTTTATAAATATTATATTAACTACTGTAGGGAATATTTATACGGACTAAAGTAAAGCTCCCAAGTACCATAACACATTTACTCCTTAGTAGTGGAATACACATCATCAGTCATGCACTTATCTTGCAATCTACCCCCATTATCAGATATTCACAATTAAATATAGAGCTATGGGCTATATACGAATTTACGGACCATACATTTACAAGCTAAAAAATGTATAGCCCATTAGCCAAATAATTACCGACCTAGAAGCGGAGAAGAGCAAAGATAAAGCGACGGAACGAGCGATAGAACCGTCGTAGAAGAAGGAGAACAATTTAAGAGTTTGGGAGTTATTGTAAATTGCTGAAGACGACGACCTGCACACCAAGATGCTCAAGCGGACGAAGCGCTGAAGAAGACTAGGTTGAAGAGAAGAGGCTTAAATTTCTGAGATTCTGTTTTTTGGGGGGAGGAAACGTGTTCCCGAATTTCTCAAAATTAAAAAACGGCCCCAACACACGTTTCAGCCGTTTCTCACGTTCGGAAACGTGCGTAGTTGCGTACGTTTCCGATACAGGGAAACTCTACCTTCCCAGCGTTTTCGTGCCTTATTGCCCTATACTGAATAACAGAGAGACTGTTTCCGGATGACCCATGGTGAAAATCGCATTGAAAATTGCATGGGCTAACTGCTGCTTCATAATAAAGAAGCGTTGACAGATTAGTGACTCATTTTGCTTTATTTCATCATATTCTCAATCCAAAAAATAGTGAGTCTTTGGCTCCATTGCAAATGATGGGAATTAGAGTTCTATATCACCATCTTAGTTTTAAAAGGTGTGAGGCGGTATGAAGCGTTTTCATTGAATTTAGCAGAGGCGCGAGGTGAAGGCGCACGCCTCATGGATAGCCTTACACCTGAACTATATTTATGCTACTTTATACCCTCTAAGTAAAACTGTAAAACTTAATATTAAATGACCTAAGAATTCCATAAACCATGGGACAATGTTAACAAACTTAATAAAGATCAAAAGGAGAAACAAAATAAATAGTCAAGTATAACAAACAATCTGTCCTAAACATCATGCATTGTAACGTTCTAATTAAATAGGGAAAAATAATTAAAATACGCCAAACTTTGAAGGGGTGTGAGGTAAACACCACAAACTTGAATATGTAATTTCAATATCCCAAACTTTATTTAAATAGTTATGTTAGCACTATAAACATATAATTTTCACCATAAATTATATTACTGAAAATTTTAAATTTACAAATGACCATGGTGCTAAAATAACTTTTTATGTAAAGTTAACCATGACACGCAAAAAACGTCTCGAAGCGAGGGATTAAGCGCGCCTACAGGAACCTGCTGCGCACAGGATTCTTGATGCGGTTTTTCTAGCACCTGGGTGCGCCGTGCGCCTTGTGCCACAAGCGCGATTCTTTAATTAAGATCACATTAACAAAAATATAATTGTTCGTCAAAATAGATGGGAGAAGCATACCATAGGTCCCCTCCATACGATTGCTGCATCTTCTTCCACAAGAGATCCCATTGATATACATTTTACACCATAACTTTCAATTGGAATCATTTTCCCATCTGCTGAAAAAAGATCATGAGAATCAGAGAGAGCAAAACAAGCAAAAGGATAATGCTCATCGGCTCATTGCTAGTGATGTATACACAAGCCAAGTACTTTGGGCAAGAAAATATTTGAGGTCCCTATAACATGTTAAGATGTATTTGTTAACCCTTAGAACAAAAGAATGTCAGTAGATATTTACTTGAAAAAAAGGGTGGGGGGGGGGGGGGGGGCAAATAAGGTCTCACCTTGGCTGACTTCAGGCTTTCCATGGAGTCGCATCATCAAAGGAATTGAAGGCCCATAAATATCAGCGTCTAGCAACCCAACTTTAAGCCCATACTTATTAGCAAGTGTAACCGCCAAATTAACTGCAAACCCGATAGGTTTACTGAAGAGTTGCTAACAATACAAAATACTTGGATATTATTTAGTACTTCCTCCGTCCCATTTTACATATTTTCCTTTTTGGTTGTCCCAAAATAAGTGTCACATTTCCTTTTTGGAAAGAAAAATGTAGTCTACAGCATTTCACTTTGTTATACTCAAATCTCAACCACGACTTTTACTTTCTCAACCACTTTATTAATGATTGTCAAATCAAAGTAGGACACATAAAATGAGACGGAGGTAGTATTACCCGAGTCATTTCACCATGTCACCAACACTTTGTTTGGATGAAGTGTTGAAGGGTATTAGAAATTGAGGATGCATGCAGCGTCATTGGTGACCTTGTTTGGAAGGAACTTAAAATTTTAGGAGACGAAGAGTTGGGGTGTGTAAGGGGTAACACTCCCGATGCTTCAACACTTCACTATATCAACACGACAACACCCCAATTTGGGGTATTGCACCGCATTTAATCCTTGCTATCAAGAGAAATCCTTGTTATTTAACCCTACTTTAATTCCCTTAGATATTTGTCTTTACATAATAATGCAACAGCCTTTTATGCGATACGATGCAAATTTTTAATTATGATTTTGAAATTTTAAATTCTAAATGACTGAATAAGTTTATCATTATGTTTATTTTGTAATCCATGAAATATTTATGGACAAATAGCTAAAATGTTGCAATGACACATTGAACAAGTATACTGCAGCATGTGTTGAGCTGGTTTTATTTCATAATGTATATATGATTCTAGACACTTTTTTGTATTGTTGGATATAATGTTAGACAAATTATATTTTCCTTTGAGCAAAATTTGCATTTACCTAATAACTGTTCAAAACACATGTGAACAGTTGGGCGTAGGAGTAGACAAAACGGAAAAAAATCACAGCTTCCGATTATATACTCATATAATATACATAGTATAATATATTCATATGGCTCACATAAATTTTTTAGATGTAGGGATATTATAGCATACAATTACACTCGCCCTTACAGCCTCCACCAATGCCTGATACTTCAGGCAACTTCCATTACTAACTACCATCAATACTTCATCCAAACAAATTATAAGCTAGAAGCACATGATTTCAAAGCAAGAAGCAATAACAACGCGCATAGCATTTATAGGTACCAGCAGTAGTGGACTTGCCAACACCACCTTTGCCTGAAGCAATGGCTATAATGTCTTTAATTCCTTTGATCTTGAGGTTCTGGGTTTTAGGTGCTGTTTGCAACCCCCTCACCCGACCAAGCTTCAAAATGAGTCAAACAAAAGAAAATGTCAATTTGTTGGAATTGATTGTGTCAATTTCAATCTCAGCAAAAGTTACTTACAATGTAATCTTTGGATATCCCCTTCATAAGTTCAGCTGGGAAAGTGAAGAACAAAATCTCAAACCACCATAGTCACTTCTAGGTAATGGCGGAACAAAAACTTTTTTGGTAGACAGCACGAAATATATGAAACTTCAAAAAATTATATTAATAACACGATGAATTTATATTAGAAAAAATGACTAATATATGATTACAATAAAGATAGTGAACAAAAATGTGACTCCTAATACATAGTGACCATGGTAGTAACTTAGGGGGTGTATTCATTTGGGACTTATTTAGACTGTTTAAGATTCGTGACAATATGAGATTTTAGTAGACTTGTATGGACTTCTCAAGATTTGTGCAGATTCTTACGTAAGACATTTATGGATTCTTATACAAATATGAAGACTATATCACCCATACCTACAAGTTACCAATTTTCATCAAAGTGGAAGCTTTATTCAAGGGTGCTCAGAAGCTTTATTTCTTGAGTGGTGGAGTTTTGCAGACCACAACACAGATTCATCGACTGAGTTAGGGATTTGTCCGAGCAGGAAGCGTGACAGGGAGAAGAGGAGGACGTGATAGGTTTCTGATTTCTTCCGGATGGGGAAAAAATCGACACAAGGGCCAAATCTTTTTCCGGCAACCTCTTAACCTCTCCAAGTTGTAAAGGGCATGTTTCCAACAGCTCCTGCTTTAAAAAAATGCTTTTTTAATGAAATGAGGAGAAGTGATTAAATAAAAGTTGATAGTGTTTGAGAAAAAAGTGATTTTGAAAAGTAAAAGTGAGTAGTGTTTGGTAAAATAAGTGTTTTTTGTGTAATAGAAAAAGTAAAAGCACTTTTGACGCGGAAGCCGATAAAAATAAAAGTTGTAGTGTTTGGGAAAATAAGTGCTTTTTTAAAGCCAAAATCTGATAAGTGCTTTTTAAAAAACAGTTGCAAACCAACCCAAAGTTCAATATGAATACATGTCTAATATGAATACACATTTAAACCAACCCATGTCTTAGTTCAATATGAATACACCTAGACATTTTGGGATTTCTAAAATGTCTTAGAATTGCTTAATTAAATACACCAAGATTTAATAAATCCTAAAATGTCTTAAAATGTCTATAATGAATACACCCCCCTTAATGACTACTACTATGTTCGGTTTTACACACAAGTGACCATGATTATACCGCCATAATAATTTTAATCAGATTTTTGTCCATAAATTTAAATGTTTTATGTCAATAATATTTTAGAAAAAGTGTCTTTAAATTATCATTAAATATGCAGAACTTCACTAATTCATCAAACAAAAAGGTTAGAATGCATCAAATTTAAAATTATAGCATTGCTGGGTTTTGGTATAGGCAAAAAGGCTCTAGCAGCAACTCTCTAATTCGCAATCCTAATTTCTAAACATATAGCAGAACTCTGTACATGCAAACAGAAATACTATGTATTAGATTAGGGGAAAGGTGAAGATATACCCTTCAAGTATATGTGTAGGTGCACATATATCTCTGAATTTCTAAAAGGTGCAAAATACTTCTCATGTTTCTATATAAAGAAGAAAATTTACCCATATTGAGAAAAATAATTCAATTGTTACAAGATCCACGTTAATGTATAAATGATAGAAATACATTCAATTCAGTAATTGGTAAAAAAACAACATTTCTGGAATTTAATTTAGTTCGATCAAGCATTGATTGAATGGAAATAAAAATAATCCTTATTAAAAAAAATTAAAAGTATTGATAAAAATGAAGATGGCGTGTTTATCTTTAAATTCAATTTTTTGCTTCAGTTTTTGTCTAAATGGGAGGGTAATTGTTAAGAATATATATTTTTAAGTAAAAAAGATTATAAAGCACACATGCTTATATATAACTCAACAAAATAATTATTCACTCTTAATAGTAATAATACATTTTTTTATAAAAATGGAATGGGTAATAGTGAATAGTGTTTCTTTAATTTCCAAATATATTTTAACTTCTGAACTAGAGGTTATGTGTGAGGGTACAGAACAAACATGGAAGGTGTTGAGTATGCTATTAGCTCCGTATCCTGAGATAAAACTGATTATACTTTATATCTTGGGAAAATCGCATATGGTCCCTCAGTTATCCACGAAATTAAAATCTCCGACCTGTATTTCTGAGATTGTAAATGTCACCCCTCAATTGTCCAAAATGTTATAGCTTTTATGGTGTTAAGCACATAATATAGGACGACAGTTCCAAATTGCGTTTTATATGTATATTCCGGACCAGTTTTCTTTCAAAAATCATTTGACGACCTTCCTGATTGAATTTTTTGCTCAAATTTGGTATGGATGAACTAGACTTGATGGGGAACATACACAAAAAAATTCAGCCAAAAATACCACTGGTTCTAAGGGGTTCTCACGGGTTCTCATTTTAAGAGGGGTTCTCACTAGAACCCTCTCCTATATGTGTGTGTGTGTTCCGATAAATTTCTTAATAGTGAGATTTTTTAAACAGTTTCCCAGACTCACCAAAAGTAGTTGATGTAGTGCATATCCTGTCCTTTCAAAGCTTAGGGGAGGGTAATGTATAATGATTTTAACTTTAAAAAATAGTAAAAACTTTTTTATCTAAACTAATATGCTTACTAATAATCACTAGTGGAAAATACACTTTTTATATGGGTTAAAATGCACTTTTAATGTCGGTTCCGGTGGCGACATAGTATCCCGCGATATTAAAAGTCAGGTACCTTTTGTGTCGGGTAAAGGGACCCGTTATTGAATGTTATTTATAACGGGTACTTACGTAACCGTTATTGATTGTTTTTATGCCCGTTCATAAATACCCCATATAAAATCTATTTTATATGGGATATCACATCAACCGTTATTGAATGTTTTTTCCTAATAAAACCTATATTCTACATATTATGCATTATATAACCTTGCTTGTATAGTGTAATCAACATAAAATGACACCAACAAATTGGAATCATGACAAATATATATTCATAATCGTAGCAAAATTACAAATTTCCACATAATACACCATCCATTCCAAGTTAAAGCTACAAAATTTCACATGTTCAATCCAAGTCAAAATTATAGACTTCAACAGGATATACCAGCCATCACCATTCATACTACAGACATATCAAAATAGAACCTTATCTAATCTAATATATTTAATAACGGGTGCTTGTAGTGTCATAAACAAATGATGCCCAACGCTTTCTTGTCTCGTTAATCTCTCCTTCAGTGAATGGCTCTTGAACATTAAATGTCTGCAAAATATAAACATAAAAATAAAAACAGACATTCAATAAAATATAAAAATAGAAGTAAAATTGTGTTTAATGAAATATAATATAAAAGAATTAAAGTATAAATTTGATGAAGCACAACTTTAAAAAATTAATTACCTCAATCCATGAATCAACGACAACAGCAGATATTATAGTATCCATATGCCTCATAACATGGTACCCACACTCATGGCTTCCTCTTTGCATTTGACACTGCAAATAGATGTACATGTAAATATCTCCTTTTACTACTCTGTCAGGTACCCAAAAAGAAAGAATAGGAATGCAAAAGAAACAAAAAACATCCCAACATCCCAGACTATAACTATGTTTGAATTACCACTCCAAATAACAATAAAAGCATAATTTGCAGACATCTAACCACTGCCCAAATTGCGCTCCATCAAATTTGCAGACATCTATCCACTCCAAATAATAATAAAGTATAAGCTATGTTTGGATAATTTGCACAAATCTATCCACTACCCAATAACAATAAAAGCATAATTGAAATTGTACTCACCGGAACAAGATTGTAGCATATAAACAAAGTCACATAACTTATAGTATTTTCACTTCAAATCAGATTTTGAACATCATGAACATTATGGCAGCTTTTGATAGAAGACATAGAATTAACATCCTATTATTTTCAAATGTACTCTAGTGCATTGCAAAATCAGCCCAAATATATATACAATTTTATAATGCAAAATCAACCCCAATATATAGTCATTAAAAGAACTTACGACATTGCATGATAAGTATGAAAAAATACTTACAACTGGCTTAATCCATTTTGGTTTGGAACTCCTCCTATTTTTGGTTATTTGGTGTGCTTGCATTGCCCTTAATTAAAAAAAACAGAAATAAGTCATAATTTTTTAGCCATAATCAAAAGTACACATTTGGTGTACAAAATTATATACTTACATATCCAAAACACTCTTCACAGTTGTCTTTGGCTTATTCCCCAAGGAGCACAAAAACACAATAATATTTTGCTTTGGACACAATACGAATAGCTGCCAGTGGTGACTGAAATAAAACTGTTAGCGATAATTATTTACATATTAATTGAGTTTTATAATAAGCTTGTACTTACGGATAGTAATATGGTACTAGGTAGCAGTCCTTGTTGTCCTTGAGGTGAGTTAGGATGTATGTTTGAGTTTCATCACGCTTGTTTCCCAAATCTTGAATGATATAAGGGTCAAAGAACCCATACAAGTGCGTATTGCTCTTTTTACTGCACAATTTGTGCAAGTACCTGTAATTTAAGAATAACATGAAGGTTGAAAAATAATGATCCCAAAAAGATTACATAGTACCAGTGAACCTGTAATGATCTATTTCTATAGACAACAATGACCAAAATTTGAGAATCTAAGAGCCCTTAGGGTTTGTTTGGTTCAGGGGTTCCGCGATTTTGCAGGGAAGTGAAGGGGAGGGGGCATTTATTTTTTAGTTATTCCAGATTTAGGTAAGTGGCAATAAACTGAAGTTATAAAACCAGATTAGAATCACATAATCTAAGTAATCACAACTTAGGAAAAACCAGAATTATTAAGACCATAATGATCTAGATTGGCAGGTTAGGACTTTAGATCATAAATAAAACAACTAATTAGGATGGGCCTAATTAGACCATAATGAAAGTCAACAAATATAACTTGGCTGGCAACAGTTTCAAATCATTGAACAAAATCACAACTATCTAAATCAACTAAATCTAAAGGTTTGGACTTCGGATCATCAATGAATTGCTTCCTACTAAACAAACATTCCAGCTTGGTTTTGCCGAACTGAAATACCCAAACAAAAATCAAACCATATAAAATTCAGTTTTAGCTTCATAATGTTTTCCCAAACCATATGAAACCAAACTGAAACTGATTAGCCAAACTGACAGATTGAAAAATGTTATGGAAAAACATACACAACCTAGTTATTGCCACCCTAAACTTCTCAGGCAAGATACCACGAATAGCCACAGGTAATAAATGTTGCATTAGGACATGGCAGTCGTGAGATTTTAAACCAACCAATTTCAAGTCTTTCATGGAAACATAATTCTTGACATTTGAACAATAACCATGAGGCACTTTGACACCCTTCAAACATGCACAGAAACTTGTTTTCTCTTTCTTAGACAAAGTATGACATGCAGGCGGCAAATACATACGCTTACCTTGTGGATGTGGAGCTAGCTCCTCTCGTATACCCATCTCTACAAGATCAAGACGAGAATTCAGTCCATCTTTTGTCTTTCCGGGAATATTTAGAAGTGTCCCAATGATACTGTCGCACACATTCTTCTCTACATGCATCACATCTATGCAGTGTCTCACATCTAGATTGCGCCAGTACGGGAGATCAAAAAATATTG